GGTGTTCAACTTGGACATGGTGAGCTTAATATACATTAGATAACCAGGTGGAGATGTTGAATAGGCAACTGGGTATGCAGGTCCTAAATTCAGAAAAAAAGTCTAGGCTTGAGATATACATTTGGAAATCATTATCATAAAGACATACATTATCAAGTGCTACGATCTAGTAATTCGTCTCCCAGATATTTATCTTAAAGATATCTTAGAACACTTGAGTAGTTTCACAGAGATGAAAGCACAGCTTTGTTTAAAATAGAGAAAAATGAAGAAATCTAAATCATATCAAAGGCAAACAGCTAAATCATGATAACACATCCAAACTACAGAATACTCTGAAGCAGTTAAAAAGAATGAGTTTTATACCTATGTACTAGTAAAGAAAGAGACCCGCGGCATATTATTAAATAAAAAAGCAACAAGGAGAACAATACACACAGTGTGATCCTCCATTTATGCTAAAAAACAAAACAAACAGCCAACATATAAGATGAAAATGAGATAGATGGAAGAATGGTGGTGAAGGGGCCTTTCACTTTTACACTATGTAAGTCTATATTGATTCAACTATAGTAAGAGTTTATTCATGCATTACTGATGTACATAAAAGTAAGCTTAAACTCACAAATCACAGCAATACAAATAAATTCCTCTCAAGAAAATCTTTTGAAAAATCAAATCCATACAAGGCCATTATTCTAACCATTCACTTAAAAAATTCTTCTAGAAAATGTTTGTAACTCGGCCGGGCGCGGTGGCTCAAGCCTGTAATCCCAGCACTTTGGGAGGCCGAGACGGGTGGATCACGACGTCAGGAGTTCGAGACCATCCTGGCTAACACGGTGAAACCCCGTCTCTACTAAAAAATACAAAAAACTAGCCGGGCGAGGTGGTGGGCGCCTGTAGTCCCAGCTACTCGGGAGGCTGAGGCAGGAGAATGGCGTAAAAACCCGGGAGGCGGAGCTTGCAATGAGCTGAGATCCGGCCACTGCACTCCAGCCTGGGCGACACAGGAAGACTCCGTCTCAAAAAAAAAAAAGAAAAAAAAGAAAATGTTTGTAACTCTTCATAATGACATTTGAGTTTCAATTTCAAAGAGTATTTATTCAATGATTTTTATATATTTAATTACACATACTCATACACTTCATCTGACTTACTTCTTTTTGGAATCTCTCTAATGTAAGCTTTCTCTGCATTTGGTCTTGCACCCAAGGATCCGCTGCATATTCAGATTCTAGTAGAGAAGTCCAACAATTTGCTGCATCTCTCTTTGTCTTTGTGAGAACAATACGAACCATTTTTCTATCCTCTAAAAAAAACACACACACAAAGAAATTAGAGTTCTTCATCAAGTTGGGTTTTTTTGTTTTTTTTTTTGAGACAGTCTCACTCTGTCGCCCAGGCTGGAGTGCAGTGGCGCGATCTCGGCTCACTGCAACCTTCGCCCCCACCCCAGGGTTCAAGTGATTCTCCTGCCTCAGTCTCCCTAGTAGCTGGGATTACAGGCATGCGCCACCATGACCGGCTAACTTCTGTATTTTTAGTAGAAACGGGCTTTCACCATGTTGGCCAGGCTGGTCTCAAGAAGTTCTTCATTAAATTTTATATTTTCAAAAACCACTAAGTAATCTTTTCTCCCCCCAGTAGGTAATTTTTTTTTTTTTTTTTTTTTTTTTTTGAGACGGAGTCTCGCTCTGCCGCCCAGGCTGGAGTGCAGTGGCCGGATCTCAGCTCACTGCAGGCTCCGCCTCCCGGGTTCACGCAATTCTCCTGCCTCAGCCTCCCCAGTAGCTGGGACTACAGGCGCCCGCCACCTCGCCCGGCTAGTTTTTTGTATTTTTTAGTAGAGACGGGGTTTCACCGTGTTAGCCAGGATGGTCTCGATCTCCTGACCTCGTGATCCGCCCGCCTCGGCCTCCCAAAGTGCTGGGATTACAGGCTTGAGCCACCGCGCCCGGCCCCCAGTAGGTAATTTTGACATACAACGGTTTTCAACACATTTCTATTGCTTTATCTTTCAAAGCTGCAAAGACAAAAAAGACCTAATACAAAAGGGGAATAGATAACAAGACAAAATTAATTTTAAAAAAAGATTTGATGAATTCTAGTAATTACCCTTACCCAAAGTCCATGTTCCCTCATCAGCTATTGTAGAATCAAAGAGTTTGCCCTGAAAAATAAACATACAAGATGCTAAAAATACAGAATTTAATTTGTATAAAGTTTTCATGATTAAGATTTATCTACTTTCCTACCTAATCCACATCTTATACCACCACTTCACCATGACATTTATAGGTGCGCAACCCTAAATTTTCTTCCAGCAGGTAAAATGGAAACTAGTTTACACTGCAAGGGATATTTACTATGGCAAAGAACACAGAGCTCTCTAAAGAAAGATCAGGGCTCCTTAATTTTTAGAAGATACAATAATGCTGACCACTAGCCAAATGTGAAATTAGTATCTGAAATGCTTTAATTCTACCAATTAAAATTAACCACAAGAAGGGATCTCCTGCTAAAACTAAAAAATGTTGTCTTTTTTTTGAGACAGAGTTTCGCTCTGTCACCCAGGCTGGAGTGCAGTGGCGCGATCTGGCTCACTGCAACCTCCACCTCCAGGGTTCAAGCTATTCTCCTGCCTCAGCCTCCCGAGTAGCTAGGACTGCAGGCGCCCGCCACCACGACGGGCTAATTTTTGTATTTTTAGTAGAGATGGGGTTTCACCATGTTAGCCAGGCTGGTCTCGAACTCCTGACCTCGTGGTCCACCCGCCTAGGCCTCCCAAAGTGCCAGGATTACAGGCATGAGCTACTGCACCCAGCAAAATGTTGTTTTTAACGTAAACTTTTAAAAACATTTTAATCTTTTTGTTGGGCAATTGGCATTTAAAAAAACTTTACGTATTCCAGATTTGAAAGATCACTTGTGACTGTTCACAAACTCATATTTTTTTAAAAAAAATAAATAAATAAACAAAATATAAATTTAAAAGAGACGGCACCAGGTCCAGTGGCTCAGGCCTGTAATCCCAGCACTTTGGAGGCCAATGTGGATTGCTTGACCCCAAGGGTTCGAATCTGCTGTGAGCTACAATCTCAGCCCTGCACTCCAGCACGGGAGACAGGGACCCTGACTCTATAAATAAATAAGTATATTTTTTAAAAAAAGAGAGAGAATGCATAAGCTCAAATCCATTTTAATTTGCTGCCAAATTTAAGTTATAGAGAGTGAAATTAAAGTGTCACTAGAAAAAGCCCACATTTTCAAATATGTCAAAATTATTGGGAAAAAAAAAACTCCCATTGGTCTATATGTACATTAAAAATCCCCGAGTTACTGCTAAATTCCGAAAGTTACTGGATTTACTAAATTTAAATCGTAATCTAAAACCATTGTTGAGGAAACTATGAATTGTACAATTCAGAAAAGTCACAGAGATCCAAGCTGACATAAATTAATGTCTTTCACAGGAATCTTGAGGCACTCAAAGCACCTCCATATACTGTAATATATATAATAGCTAACATATAGAATGAACTTATTACATACCAGTGAATACTCCAAGCTCTTCATACACATGAATACCAAAACAATCCTATGAGAAGGGTACCATAACTACCGTATCTTGTGGATAAGGAAGGTATACAGACACTGAACAATCTCTTGCCCAAGTTTACAAAACTAGGAAACAAGTCGTCTCCCTTCACATTACACTGCCATCAAACATCTTGGGCATGTAATCTGAGAACAAAATCTAATTTCAACCTGTTCATTTAACTATACGCTGAACAAAGAAAAAGCGAGTCCAGATCCAACGAGTATTGGTGAAAAGAAAGAAAAGGGGTACTGCTTATTTTCTGCACACACCTCTTCACCACGTGCTTGACCACTCCATAAACATGCAGGATTTTTAAACTTTTACATGACAAAACTAATCACCTGACATCACCTCTAAATTCTCTGCCCGTTATTCTATCCCTATTTTCTTTGTTGTCCTTTCCTATATTTATCTGTTGATTAATTACGCTCCACTGCAGGGATGTTATCTGTCTCGTTGCCTTCCTGCCACCTTCCCGTCTTCAGTGCACGGAAGAAATATTTGTTCCTTTAGCAACCTAGTTAATCTGTTCCCAGCTGAAGCCCTTCAGAGAAGCAGAAGCAGCAGTCTGGCTTGGTTTGAAAACTAAATAGGAAAATGGGCTCCTCAAATTTCCACAACTCAGCATCTGCCCTGAGGAGGCGGGCTCTGACCAGACCCAAACCTGGTCAGTGTTATCCTCTTTCTCTTTCTGCCAGCCACGGGAGCCGTGAGGACACCCAACAGTCGTTCAGGGAAACCATGAACTTTTAGGGGGCGGCTGGGAAGAGGAAACTGAACACAAGCCCCGAGCTGCTGCTACCTTGAGGATCTCGCGGCCGCCCACCGACAGCGCCACATGCCGGCTCTGCAGGCCGCACTGGATATCCTGGGCGCGCGTGCCTGGAGGCACCTGAACTTCAATGAACACCTCCTCCAGGGTCTGGTACCACTGGCCCCACGGGGTCCCGCACGGAACCACCCCACTCCGCTCCTCAAACGGGGCCGACATACTCCAGTGGCTTCCCGGCCGTAGCCGCACCAGGCGGAGCCGAGCGCACGCGCGGAATCCCACGCTCAGGCTACGCCTCGGCCACTCTGCTCGGGTCACTGCACATGCGCAGGAACGCAAGCTGGCGTCTCGGTGTTCCTGTTCGTTTTCCCTTTTGAATGGCCATTTACGGCACCAGCAGAACCCGGATGAAAGAACTGAAACCCAGAAAAGTTCACATGCAACGAACAATGGGACAGAACTGGAACCAGTGAAGCCGGAACTTACTACACAGTCACCTAAGTGACGCCAACATGCGCTTTCAAACGCCTCCGTAGTGAAGTGCGCTTGCGCAAATGCTAGTGGTGCGTAGGTTACAATTGAGTAACGCCGGGAATGACTGGGTAGGTGGGTGGGGCGGGGAACAGTAACGGTTTCCTATTGGCTGGCAGCCCGAACTCACAGACCAGCTAATTGGACGCAGTCAGAACCCAGCAGTCTTTCTTTGTATTCCTCTGCGGGATTGGTGTGCCCAGGGGTTTGACTTTCCAATTGGCTAACGCCGGTGTGGGAGGGGAATGTGGGGAGTTTTGAATTTGAAGCCGGTAGGCAGTGATAATCCGCATTCAGTTGCCGAGGAGTGCCAGTGACCTTCAGTTTCTGGAGCTGGCCGTCAACATGTCCTTTCCTAAGGCGCCCCTGAAAAGATTCAATGACCCTTCTGGTGCGTAAGGGGGAAGGAGCTGGGGGACGGGAGACGCCCTAACGCCCTTTGCCTCTTTCGGCTCCCTTCTTGGGAGGCAAGCAGGAGGCGATTTTAGGATCGGGCTGGGGCTCATTCAATTGATTGATTTTTCTCAAATATGCTCTAAGCATCTGTTACATGCCAAGCACTAATCAGGATGCTAAAGATACCGCAGGGAGTGAAACAGTCCCCGCCCCTTGGGGCTTACATTCAGGCGGGGAATACTGTCAATAAACAGCAGTAATGGAGAAACTACAGCAGAGCGAAGGGAATGGAGGCGAGGCGTTGGTAGCTATTTGATTTTCAAGTCCGAGAGGGCCTCACTGGTAAGAACATTGGAGTATTACTTTTAGCCTGAACTTGTGGATTTCTTTTGTATATTCCATTTGGGCATAAAAGTAGGAAGATCCGTAAAGGCAATTTCTGGGTGTAAAATTAGAGCAGTAGTACTTATTGAAAACATAAACAATGAAGTTATCATTGCTGATATTGACCACTTATACCTCAAGCACCATACTAAGGCTGTACATCGATTATTAGTTGTTAATTTCCCACCAACTCTAAGGGGTAATCCTATTATTCATTGTTTTATTGATAAAAAGACTGAGACTTAAATTTGCTCAGTGCTGCACTACCAAAGTGCCCGGACTGGAATAAGAACCCAGCCCCCATCTTGTGCTCTTAACACCGCAATGCATAAGCACAGTAACCAGGAAGCCTTAGATGTGTTTGGTAGGTATTCATCATTTAAGATGCTGTATGCTGGGACTGTGCTACTAGATTTTGTTTATTCCTTCCAAAAGCCAAGTGAGGAAGGTACTGATATTGACCCCATTTTACAGATGAGAAAACAGAGGTTTTGTAACTTGCACAACCAGTAAGTGGTAGAGCTAAATATCAAAGCTCGTGATTTATCCACTATCATACACTATTTCATGGTTACTTATTACATCTCTTAATTTCTGTCAGCCAACGTGTGGATGAAAATGTTCACAACTACTCACAAAGGAAGGCCAAATGAGCAAGTGAATCAGCACAAACTTATTTTCTTAGTTAAAAGACTCAAGGACCATATAATTTCCCGAGTAATCAAAGGACCTACTCTTAAGTTTTGTCAGCAGTGTGGCTTTAAGGTTTTTTGTTTTTGTTGTTGTTGTTTGCATTATAGTAGGTTAAACTGGCTTTACCAAAGATACAGTATTTCAGGCTCACAGTTACAGGAGTAATACCAATTATTCGTTTGATGTTAATGTGTATGAGGCACTGTGGTGATTTTTCTTACTCGAGTAACCCTCACAACCACACTTTAAGGTAGGTACTGTTCTTTATCCTTGTTTTGTGAATGAAGAATCTGAGCTTCTCAAAGTCACTTTCCAGGGGCTTAAAGCTACACCGAAAAAAGAGAGTTTTTATTCACCCTCTTCTCCATACATCTACAAAGTATCTGGCCCATAGTAATGTCTATTGATTGGCAGGCCCCAGCTGGATTTGAACCCTGATCTGGCTGATTACAAAAGCCTATTCCATTCCCACCTCCCCAACATACTTTCTGTTTTCTTTTCCATGCTGCTGAACTCAACCCTGAGTTAAATATTGGGGATACAAACATGTTTAAGATACTCCCTAACTTCAAGCAGGCTTCTGGCTAATGTGGAAAATGGATAGTACATAAGCCTTAAGAAAACCAAGAAGTTCTATGATAGGAACAATATGCACAGGCTTCTATGAAGGGAGTTTTCTAGCCTGATTTGGGCATTCAGAAAAAACTAGAAGAGGCAACATCCAGGCTCTTCTGGCAAAACAGAAGGTTGGCTGTTCATTCTAGGTGGAAGAAATAGAAAACACAGAGAAGTTTGAAGAATTTGTTTAATGTAACACATAAAATGTTTTGTTTGCATACAAGTGTGAACTGCCTGGCTTAGCTTTTGTTCATTGTTGATGAAGATGTAAGCTGTTCCAGACAGCTTATGATCTCTCCCAAGATATCCCATTCCTCTTGTCTGATGTTCCCTCTCCCCAGATTTCTAACAAGTCAAACCTATGTTCTAGTGCATTTAAGAGTTAAGAAAAATATATAGAACATGAAAATGGCATGTGCCACAGTCTCACAAAGTATTGGTAAGTGTACAGGCTCCGTTTCAGCCTAGTTGCTCTTGAATCCAAATCCCTTTAACTATCAAACCTGACTCTGTGGAGTCTCTAGGGAAGAAGTTTTGTTAAATGTGGCCTTAATTGTTCGCAACTTGCACATGCTGCTTAGTCACATCCACTCTCCCATGTTTTGCTGGCCCTTATCTCCTTGAGAGTGGACCCAGTGAGGGATGAGAATACTAGAACTCATCCTAGGTACACTGCTGAGTTTTTTCAGTGTACCTAGGATGAATTCAGCCTGATTTAATTTTTGTTTTCTGTTTCTCTTCTGGCTGCTTGTCAAATCTAGATCAGTGCTTCTCATGCTTTTCCACAGCAGCATTTCTAAGAGCAGAGAGCAAAAGAGAAAAACTACCAGCTCTGAATCCCTCCCGACTTACCCCCAAAGGCCATAGCTACCAGTGGTGGTGGCAGTTTTCTCTGAAGTCTTCTGTTTGCTTCAAAATACACTATATTCTTCGTTACTTCCCACCCCTACCCCAAATGAATAAAATAGATGCTCTAAGATGTACCACACTCTGTAATCCCAGCACTTTGGGAGGCCGAGACGGGCGGATCACGAGGTCAGGAGATCGAGACCATCCTGGCTAACACGGTGAAACCCCGTCTCTACTAAAAAATACAAAAAACTAGCCGGGCGCGGTGGCAGGCGCCTGTAGTCCCAACTACTCGGGAGGCTGAGGCAGGAGAATGGCGTAAACCCGGGAGGCGGAGCTTGCAGTGAGCTGAGATCCGGCCACTGCACTCCAGCCTGGGCGGTAGAGCGAGACTCCGTCTCAAAAAAAAAAAAAAAAATAAAAATACAAAAAAACTAGCCGGGCGAGGTGGCAGGCGCCTGTGGTCACAGCTACTCAGGATGCTGAGGCAGGAGAATCACTTGAACCTGGGAGGCAGAGGTTGCAGTGAGTGGAGATTGCGCCACTGCACTCACTCCAGCCTGGGCAACAGAGTGAGACTCTGTCTCAAAAAAAAAAAGCAAAAAAACCCCCAAAATTTATATTTCAACCTAAGATGTATTCTTATATCTCTACACACATATATGAAAGGAAAGTTTCACAAAATAGTTCTTAACTTTGCAGTGTATGAGTCATGCTGACTTTTTCTATTGTTTTTACTTTTTAAAAAGTGCTAATCAAGATCTACTCATGGGGCTGGGCATGGTGGTTCACACCTGTAATCCCAGCACTTTGGGAGGCCGAGGCAGACAGATCAACTGACATCAGGAGTTTGAGACCAGCCTGGCCAACATGGTGAAACCCTGTCTCTACTAAAAATACAAAAAAAACTAGCTGGGCATGGTGGCGGGAGCTTGTAATCCCAGCTACTCGGGAGGCTGAGGCAGGAGAATCACTTGAACCCAGGAGGCAAATGTTGCAGTGAGCCAAGATGGTGCCACTATACTCCAACCTAGGCAAGAGAGCAAGACAGTATCTCAAAATAATAATAATAATGAGTTTCTGTCTACCATTTGACAAACATTTAGGGGACTGCAGTAGTTGCCTGAGAATGGTCCAAGCTCCTTGCTCTTCCTATTTATTTGCATGAGGCTCTAGACTGAAGTAAAGAGCTTTTCAGAGAATAGTATTAATCTGTTTGTTCCCAATCAGCTAAAGCTTTAGGCTAATAGTATTTTAATTATTGTAAGTCCTAAGGGCCCCATGTCAAATCTGCTATGTTTATTTACTCAGAAATGCCTTCAAATCTGGGACTTTAGTTAAGTGAAATTATGCAGTATAAACTTCTGGAACATACAAATATAGTCTAGTACAATTTTTACTTTGCATAACATTGGCTTTTTGAATTTCCTAAGCCTCACATTCTTTATCTGTAAATTATCACATAGTGTTCTTGTGAGGATTAAATAAAATGACATCTATAAAATGCTTAGCATAATGTCTGGCATTTAGTAAGTGCTCAAAAAATTCTAGTTGCTCAGTGTGGTTGCTTTTCTTCCGTGTGTTTGAATTGCAGTTGATATCGTCAATAGGTCTGATGTATTGACATTAGCCAGAGATGGATTATCACTATAAATTTTTATTCTAGGCTAAACATTGAGGGATAGACAGTTTTAATTACTTTATTTCTAGAAACCAACAGTAGTTACCTTTGTGACTCTCTTTGAGTAGAGTTGACACCAAGTATTTTATTTGCTATATTCAGTCCTTAGTAAGAAAGCCATATATTGCCTGTAATATATGATGTTCATCTCAAAAATTGTTGTTTGCTCAGTTGCCTGTGTTCCTTTGACCCAGTTGATATAAAGGGCAAGATGATATTGTTCTTCATAGAGAGGCCTTCTTTATAATATCAAATGGATGCAATTTTTTACATTTAAAAAAATAGAAGCAGTTTGTTAATGACATTTTTACATTTATATTCACTTTATTAAGACGTGTTTTAACTTAAGATCATAAATAACATTAGATGATATATTAATGTTTTCTATTTCCTCTAGGTTGCGCACCATCTCCTGGTGCTTATGATGTTAAAACTTCAGAAGTATTGAAAGGACCAGTATCGTTTCAGAAATCACAAAGATTTAAACAACAGAAAGGTAATAGATGACCAAAGAACAGTGGTTATGTGATCTTGTAAGTTTAAAGTTATGAATAACAATATTTAAAGATGTTATAGCATTTTTTAAAATGTGAAGCTAGAACTATGTTTAAATTGTATTTGATGGATTTATGAAACGGTCAAGTACAGAATAATGCTGTCATCATTACGTTGTTATATAACCAGGAGAATTAAGCAAGACACTCATATTGATATGTAGCTTGCCTTTTAGTAATTACCTTGACCTGTCAGGGAATATTAAGAAAATCAGAACCATATTAGATGTGTAAAAATATTGTGTAATTATTTGAAAATGTGCAACTAAGAAAAGAATATATTGTTTCATCAAAAGTTGCAATTAGAAATCTGGGGCCAGGCAAGGTGGCTCGTGCTGGTAATCCCGGCACTCTGTGACGCCAAGGTGGGTGGATCACCTGAGTTCAGGTGTTCAAGACCAGCCTGGCCAACATGGCGAAACCTCATCTCTACTCATAATACAGGAATTAGCCGGGAGTGGTGGGGTGCGCCTGTGGTCCCAGCGACTAGGGAGGGAAGTGGGAGAATTGCTTGAATCTGGGAGGCAAAGGTTGCTGTGGGCCGAGATCACACCATTGCAGTCCAGGCTGGGTAACAGTGACACTGTCTCAAAAAACAAAAAGAAAAAAAAAAAACTGGAAATTGTGTTTTGTGTGTAGTTAAAACATGTTAACACCAACCATGATCTGTACAATTCATTTTTCTGCAGAATCTAAACAAAATCTTAATGTTGACAAAGATACTACTTTGCCTGCTTCAGCTAGAAAAGTTAAGTCTTCGGAATCAAAGGTGACGAGCTTTTATATGCCAGCTGGTTTATCAACTGTGTCATCGAAAACATCTGAAGTATTGTATTTGATTAGAATGGGTTAAGTGTCTGAATCAAGGTTATAAGTAAATCTGTGAATTAATGAAATGAGTTATCATTAGAACTCTAGCAAGTGTTCCATTTCTGCCTAGGTCATTATGTTTAAATGTGCCCTTAGTTCACAATTACAATGGTCTTCAATTCTCAGTCACTTCCGTGTTTAAATTGTTTATTACCTAGTAAAGATTTCAAAATTATGTGATGCTTTCATTTATTGAGTACCACCATTTGAGTTGTTTTGATTTTGTGTATTTGTTTGTAGGGAAGGTTAAGTATTTTTGAAGAAAAGGGGGAAAATGCCAGTATCTAAGAAAGATACTGAGAAACTGTTAAGGAGTGGTGACAGATTAAATTCTTAACAGTCTTGTGGCTTGTGCAAGAGCTACTATTACTATTTTCATAAGTTTATAATCAGGCAAGCTACATAATACTTTTTTTTTTTTTTTTGAAATGGAGCCTCACTCTGTCTCCCAGGCTGGAGTGCAGTGGTACCATCTCAGCTTACTGCAGCCTCTGTCCCCACAGGCTCAAGCGATTCACCTGCCTCAGCCTCCCCAGTAGCTGGGATTACAGGCACATCCCACCATGCCTGGCTAATTTTTGTATTTTTACTAAAGATGAGGTTTAACCATGTTGGCCCGTTGGCCAGGCTGGTCTCGAATTCCTGACCTCGGATGATCTATCCCAAAGAACTGGGATTACAGGCGTGGCCCACCATACCTGGCCGCCATATAATACTTTTTAAAAGACAGCTGGAGGGGTGCGGTGGTTCTCGCCTATAATCCCAGCACTTTGGGAGGCGAGGCAGGTGGATAACTTGAGGTCAGAAGTTCGAGACCAGCCTGGCCAACATATAGTGAAACCCCGTCTCTACTAAAAAATACAAAAATTAGCTGGACGTGGTAGCACACGCCTGTAGTCCCAGCTACTTGGGAAGCTGAGGCAGGAGAATTGCTTGAACCTGGGAGGCAGAGGTTGCAATGAGCTGAGATGGCACCACTGTACTCCAGCCTGGGCAACAGAACAGGACTCAGTCTCTCCAAAAATAAGGAAAAAAAAAAGACATCTGGGCACAGTAGCTCACGCCTGTAATCCCAGCACTTTGGGAGGCTGAAGCAGGTGATTGCTTGAGGTCAGGAGTTCGAGACCAGCCTGACCCACATGGTGAAACCCCATCTCTACTAAAAATACAAGAAAATTAGCCATGTGTGGTGGCACGTGCCTTAATCCCAGCTACTCGAGAGGCTGAGGCAGGAGAATTGCTTGAACCTAGGGAGGCAGAGGTTGCAGTGAGCCTAGATCCTGCCACTGCACTCCTGCCTGGGCAGCAGAGCGAGACCTATCTCAAAAATAAAAATAAAGTTAAAAATTTGTACAAATTACTAGGTTTTTTTTGATGTGAAAAATATTCAGAGTTGGGAAAAGTTAGGCTTAGGTTCTTCATTCATTTGGCAGTTGCCTAAGCCTCATATTCTGTAATACAGAGCTGTGTTGTTCAGCATGGAAGCATAGCCACATGTGTCTGTTGAGCAATTGAAATGTGGCTAGTGCTATTAAAGAACTAAATTTTTAATATTATTTAATTTTAATTAATATATATTTAAAGATATACTCAATTTTGTTAGTGGAACACTTTTAAATATTTTTGGAACAACTTGAGTATGTGAATTTACTTTCTCCTCTCTGTGTTTTATGAAACTAAACATACATAAATGTTTCTGATGAAAATTTAGCATTGAATTGAAATGGCTGTAAGTGTAGAATACAAAGAAAATTTTAAAGACTTAGTACAAAAATATAAAACATCTCATTGATAATTTTATACTAGTGACATGCTGAAGTAATATATTTGATATATTGGCTTAAGTAAAATATATTAAGATTTTTACTTTTTAAACACACTACTAGAAAAATTTAAATGCATACATGGTTTGCATTATTTTTATTGGGCAGGACTATTATAGACACTCTTCTTAGAAATTGATGTAAGTGGTTTGACTTAAATTTCTTGAAGAAACTGTCCTGAAGTTTTGTAATTTATAAAGCCCCTTAGAAAACTAAATTACAGGCCGGGCACGGTGGCTCAAGCCTGTAATCCCAGCACTTTGGGAGGCCGAGACGGGCGGATCACGAGGTCAGGAGATCGAGACCATCCTGGCTAACACGGTGAAACCCCGTCTCTACTAAGAAATACAAAAAATAGCCGGGCGAGGTGGCAGCGCCTGTAGTCCCAGCTACTCGGGAGGCTGAGGCCGGAGAATGGCGTGAACCCGGGAGGCGGAGCTTGCAGTGAGCTGAGATCCGGCCACTGCACTCCAGCCTGGGCTACAGAGCGAGACTCCGTCTCAAAAAAAAAAAAAAAAAAAAAGAAAACTAAATTACATACAAGTTTGTATGGAGCCCCAAAATAATAGTCCCTCCCCATAAAAAATTTCATGGAGTGTGAAATTAATAAACATGACACTGATGTCACTCCCACCTCCTGCCCCACTTAGAAACATCTAAAACAGATTTCATTCAAGATGTTGATCCCTTTCTTCCATTTTTAGATGGAAAAGATAGTCTTTTTCTAGCCATTGTTTCAGAAAGTCTGTTGGATATAAAAAGATACAGTGTGAAAATTGTATGTCTTATTTAGAATAAAGCCAATGAGAAAATTAGAATCAGAGCTTATGCTATTTCAGTTTTTATTTCTTTGCATCTGTATATTTTCCTCTTTGGGTATCAAAGTTTAAGTTGATTTCTCTTTGTAAGATTCTGAGATAGCATAATGAAATATTCAAGATGTATTGCTGTTTAACATTAGAGGGAGGCAGTCAGTAGCTTTATTCATAAAGTTCCACCTGTTCTTTTCACTGGGCTGATTAGGAAAATCCTGATTTATTGGGTTGAAAACTTTTAAACCTAAAATATCTTGAGATTTTTAGAATCTTTTATTTATCAGACGAGTGACCCACAAAATTTTTAACAGACTCAGTGTAATGTTTGAAATAGAAACTGTTTGGATCCCTTAATCTTTTCTGGTAACTAAGAAACAAATTTGGCTGTGATATTTGTGACATCTAAATTTGCTTATAAGTTTTCTTTGGCTTTTAAACAGAAGGAATCTCAAAAGAATGATAAAGATTTGAAGAAATTAGAGAAAGAGGTAAGCAGTGCTTTCAACTTATTGAAAAGTACATATAATAGAAACAGTTACATAGATTTAAGAGATAAGGATTCTGTTGCAGTGTGAGGAGTCCTGCAGTGAGGGAAACATGCCATTCAGAACAGTGCATATGGGAAAACAGTTCTTACAACATTTCACAGATCTATCCAGGCTATGTTAATGTGGTATGCTGGCAACGCCAAGATTCAAGATAGCCCACTTAATGAAAAACTGATAACTGAAAATCATTATGTCAGTTGATTACAATTAGATATGTGGATCAGATATTGATATCTATCCATCGTTGACACTCTTCCTGTATGCTGACTTATGTTAAGACAACATAGCTAGAGGATTTCTTAGTGAGCATGCAATCCCAGCTGGTCAGACTATGATGAAGGTAGGCTAACTCCATGCATTGCTCTGCACAATAGGTATAGGCCTTCCTCATGGGTGAAATAACACAGAGCTATGCTGTTCAATGTGGTGGCTACTCACCACATGTGACTATCTAAATTAAATAAGATAAAATTAAGAACTCAAATCGGCCGGGCGCAGTGGCTCAAGCCTGTAATCCCAGCACTTTGGGAGGCCGAGACGGGCGGATCACGAGGTCAGGAGATCAAGACCATCCTGGCTAACACGGTGAAACCCCGTCTCTACTAAAAAATACAAAAATTAGCCAGGCGAGATGGCGGGCGCCTGTAGTCCCAGCTGCTCGGGAGGCTGAGGCAGGAGAATGGTGTGAACCCAGGAGGCGGAGCTTGCAGTGAGCTGAGATCTGGCCACTGCATTCCAGCCTGGGCGACAAAGCGAGACTCCGTCTCAAAAAAAAAAGAACTCAATTCCTCAGTTGCACTAATCACATTTGAAGTGCTCAATAGCCACATGTGATTAGCAGCTACCATACTGGACAGGGCGTTTCCACCATGACAGAAATTTCTATTGAACAGTACTGACCTAAAGAACCCATTTACTTTCCTAGCAATGCTAAGCAGCTCACTGTGAACTTTGCTTCTCTGCCGTCTTTTTTTTCTGTTTCCGTTGCTAACCAACTCTTTTTCTCATGGATATATTCTTTCGATATATTAAAATCTTTCATTTGATTACAGTCGAATGTTGGCTTTTGACCAAGAGTATGTCAGAGTAACTGTAGATGTCTGCTCAGTTGCTCTGATTGTTTTATATGTATTCTAATCATGTTAGCTATCATTTTATTGAGGATACATGTAGGGGTTGATATTTAATCACTGAGGAATAATCACTGAGTCTCAGTCAGATAGCTGGTGAGTGAGTGGTAAAGCCAGGATTAGAACTAATAATTTATATCAGTGACTTCATTCGGTGTAGAATTTTAGGGTGGCAGGTTTCCCCCCATGACATTAAAAATATCATTTCATTTCATTGTCTTTTGGCTTCCACATTTTCTGTGGACAAATATTGGTCTGGGGGGGTTTTGTTGTTTTGTTTTGTTTTTTAAATCTGGTAATAGCAGCAAGAATGATGGCTTGCCAATGCCTAGTACATTCTCCTCAGAAGCCCAGCTCTGCCTTCTTGAAATAAAAAAACATTTAGTATTTTAAGCTAATTTGAATTTGTGTAATTGAAGCTACAGAAAATAACTATTATAGGTGGAAATGCCTTAAACGTGAATAAATAGCAGCCGGGCACAGTGGCTCATGCCTCTAATCCCAGCACTTTGGGAGGTTGACGCGGGTGGATCTCGAGGTCAGGAGATCGAGGCCATCCTGGCTAACACAGTAAAACCCTGTCTCTACTAAAAATACAAAAAAGTTGCCGGGCGTGGTGGGGGGCGCCTGTAGTCCCAGCTACTCGGGAGGCTGAGGCAGGAAAATTGCTTGAACCCAGGAGGCGGAGCTTGTAGTGAGCCGAGATGCTGCCACCACACTCCAGCCTGGGCAACAGAGCAAGACTCCATCTCAAAAAAAAAAAAGTGAATAAATAGCTTAATTATACTTGGAATTTATGGCAACTAAAGTTCTTCTGTTCTTAAAATGCATTAAGACTTTTAAGATGCATCATAGGTAAATATGATTATTCAGATAGCTAGTAACATTAGAATATCTACAAGCATAATGTCAAAATCAGAGATTTTTCCAGAAACTTTCGGGGTGATTATTCGTAATCATTTATTCTCACCTTGTTTTTGTCCAGATTCGTGTTCTTCTACAGGAACGTGGTGCCCAGGACAGGCGGATCCAGGATCTGGAAACTGAGTTGGAAAAGATGGAAGCAAGGCTGAACGCTGCACTCAGGGAAAAAACGTCTCTCTCTGCAAATAATGCTACACTGGAGAAACAACTTATTGAATTGACCAGGACTAATGAACTACTAAAATCTAAGGTATCTGAGCCTCATGATAACATTTACAGTTGAATAAATATAAACATGTTTTTTCGGGCTGGGCGCAGTGGCTTACGGCTGTAATCCCAGCATTTTGGGAGGCCAAGGCGGGTGGATCACCTGAGGTTGGGAGCTCAAGATCACCCTGACCAACGTGGAGAAACCCCGTCTCTACTAAAAATACAAAAATTAGCGAGGCACATTGGCGGGCACCTGTAATCTCAGCTACTCTGGAGGCTGAGGCAGAAGAATCGCTTGAACCCAGGAGGTGGAGATTACAGTGAGCTGAGATGGTGCCATTGCACTCCAGCCTAGGCAAGAGAGTGAGACTCCGTCTCAAAAAAACAAAACAAAACAAAGTATACCAGGCAATTCAGATTTATTTTGTTAAGCAAACATGTTTCAAGAAATCCTTTCTCAGGGACTTGCTTTAGAATCTTGCAATGCACTTTCCAGCACACAGAGGTAAGTGACCACCCAAACAACCTTTCAAAACTAAACCAGCAGGCCAGGCATAGTGGCTCACACCTGTAATCCCAGCACTTTGGGAAGCTGAGACGGATGGATCACTTGAGGTCAGGAGTTCGAGACTAGCCTAGCCTAACATGGCGAAACCCCATCTTTACTAAAAATACAAAAATTAGCCAGGTATGGTGGCACACACCTGTAATTCCAGCTACTCAGGAGGCTGAGGCATGAGAATCGCTTGAACCCGGGAAGTGGAAGTTGCAGTGAGCAACACGGCACTCCAGCCTGGGTGACAGAGTAAGACTCTGTCTCATAAAAATAAAATCAAAACAAACCAGCAAGTCATATTAAGGATAAGAGAGATAAGAACAGTAGACCGGTGCAGTGGCTCATGCCTGTATTTCCAGCATTTTGGAAGGCTGAGGGCTGGAGAATTGCTTGAGGCCAGGAATTTGAGACCAGCCTGGGCAAAATATCAAGACCCCATCTCTATAAACAACTTGAAAAATTAGCTAGGCATGGTGGTGGTGCACACCAGTAATCCTAGCTACTCAGGAAGATGAGGCAGGAGGATTGAGTCCAGGAGTTTGAGATTATAGTGAGCTATGATCATGCCACGCCACTCTAGCCTGGACAGCGAAGCGAGACTTGATCTCTTAAAAACAAAAGAAAAAAAAAATAAATCAGTAATTATGGTGTAGGTCAAAGACTGTTCTCTCTACCAAAGCATATTACAGTCAAAAACATAACCCCAGTGATAGGTAGAAAAATCAATACTTGTGTATTTTAAATATATCTTAGCAGAAAATATTTCTGAATTTTTTATGTGTTTGTTGTACTTAGTTTTCTGAAAATGGTAACCAGAAGAATTTGAGAATTCTAAGCTTGGAGTTGATGAAACTTAGAAACAAAAGAGAAACAAAGATGAGGGTGAGTGCTGCCTTTGGCAGGTTTGCTGTGTCTGGATCTGGGGATCAGTACAATTTTCTCATTTCCTAAAACACGTATCTTTGTTGTGTAGGGTATGATGGCTAAGCAAGAAGGCATGGAGATGAAGCTGCAGGTCACCCAAAGAAGTCTCGAAGAGTCTCAGGGGAAAATAGCCCAACTGGAGGGAAAACTGTAAGTGACTGAATGTGAAGAGAACTTGTTAAGTGGAAGCAATTCTTGATTTGACTCTCTTCACAAATTATTGTTTACTGAGACTTCAGACTTCTCTTAGTACTTATCTCATTGCCTCCCTCCAGTTGCCCTATTTCTTTTTTTAAATGAGAATGAGCCCTAATCATTCTCAAACATGTGCTAGAAAGTTGTATGAGTGCATTACTTTTGTACATCTTCTGTATTAATGATGAGGAAAGGTTTCATGATCTTATGAAAGTGGTCATTAGATTGAAACGGAAAAACACTGGTATAGGAAGTTGTGATTTATGCACAATCATAGGCTTTGATTTTGAGCTTTAATTTACATATAATAAAATGTGTGGATAGTAAGTGTTCAGTTTGGTGACTTTAGCAGTTGTATACACCTATGTAACCATTACCAAACAAGATAGAGAACATTTTCATCCCTTCAGAAAGTTCTTTCACACCCCTTCTTGTCTCCCTGCTACTGCCTGTGCCATGTCCCCATCCCCACAACTACTTTCTCACTTACATCATCATAAATTAGCTTTGCCTTTTTTTATTTATTATCATTATTATTGTTATTATTATTATTTTAGAGATGGGGCATTGCTGTGTTACTCAGGCTGGTCTCAAACTCCTGGACTTAAGTGATACCACCCTGACCTTCCAGAGTGCTGGAGATAGAGACATGGCCGCTATACCTGTCCAGTTTTGCCTTTTTTTAGGACATGCAAGAGAGAAAGAGCATGTGTGTGTGTGTGGCTTCTTTTGTTTGATGTAATTTTTCAAGATTCATCCAATCTGTTCCGTGTACTATAATTTTTCCTATTTTATTTCTGAGTAGTGGTTCACCCTATGAATATACCTCCATCTCTTTACTCTCCTTTTGATCATTATTTGGGCTGTTGCCAGTTTCTGCCATTGAAAAGACTGCTGTGAACATGTTTTATGTTTTTTTATGGACATGTTTTTATTTCTCAGATAAATTTCTAGGAGTAGAATTCTTGGGTAATAGGGTAGTGTATATATAATGTTTTTTAAAATTCAAAAGTGGTTTTGCCATTTTTATACACCCCCCGGCAATGTATGACAGTTTCAGTTGTTACAGATTCTCACCAACATTTAATGTTGTCTGTTTGATTTTAGCCTTTCTACTAGGTAGGAAGTGGTATCTCCTTTGTGATTTTAATTTGTTGCTATGAATGTTGACCATATTTTTATGTGCTTATTGACCATTTTATGTGCATATCACCTTTTGCAAAGTGTCTGTTGAAGTCTTTTGTCCATTTCTTGCATTGGACGGTTTGGTGGAGGTAAACAGATAAGTAATCGAATACCAGGTAGTCTGGGACAAAAGCTTTATGGCACACAAAATGCTATTTAGTATGTTGGGTGGGTGGGAAAACCAGGAAGACCACACAAAAAAAATTATTTCTAACACTTGGGATACTGTAATGATGGTTCTTGTCATTACAGGTTTTTTGTCAGTGTATATTCAGAAAACTTTATCACTTAAATAAAAATTTTAGTCTTGTATTTGGATATAAATTCTGAATTTGAGAAATCACATAAAATAATTGTTAAGAGTTAGGACTCTGGGCCGGGCGCGGTGGCTCAAGCCTGTAATCCCAGCACTTTGGGAGGCCGAGGCGGGTGGATCACGAGGTCAGGAGATCGAGACTATCCTGGCTAACATGGTGAAACCCTGTCTCTACTAAAAATACAAAAAACTAGCCGGGCGTGGTGGCGGGCGCCTGTAGTCTCAGCTACTTGGGAGGCTGAGGCGGGAGAATGGCGTGAACCCGGGAGGCGGAGCTTGCAGTGAGCCGAGATCAGGCCACTGCACTCCAGCCTGGGAGACACAGCGAGACTCCGTCTCAAAAAAAAAAAAAAAAAAAAAAAAAAAAAGAGTTAGGACTCTGGAGTCAGCCTGCCTGATACAGCAGTATCTGGTACATAAGCATTATGTATGATTATTAAGTAATGAAACTAGAATGTCTTAACATATGCAATTTTTGTTTTAGTGTTTCAATAGAGAAAGAAAAGATTGATGAAAAATCTGAAACAGAAAAACTCTTAGAATACATCGAAGAAATTAGGTAATATGAGCAGTAGCTTTAAATTGAACCTTATTTTTTTAATACTGAATCATTTTTATCATTTTTCTGTTATTTTTCCCTGTGCCTAAATAGATGTGCTTTTTAAGACAATTTGTTTTAATGCAGTTGTGCTTCAGATCAAGTGGAAAAATACAAGCTAGATGTTGCCCAGTTAGAAGAAAATTTGAAAGAGAAGAATGATGAAATGTTAAGCCTTAAGCAGTCTCTTGAGGAGAATATTGTTATATTATCTAAACAAGTAGACAGTCTAAATGAAAAATGTCAGCTGCTTGAAAAAGAAAAAGGTATTACAGTGTTTTATAGTTACTTTCTTTAGATAAGTGTTACATACAACATTTAGGAAAAATACTGCTATGCTAAAACCACCTTTTAAATATAATTAGCTATACTAACATTTTAAATATAATTAGCTATATAGCTGTACAACAGCAAAAACCTGTACTGCATTTTAGAATATTTTACTCTTATAATGTTTGTTTTCTGTTTGTTTCAATACAGCATATTACCTGTCTTGATTGAAATATATACAGTCGTATAATTCTTGACTTTTCCACTAGGTGGCTATTTAAAAATCAGTAGATATACAGAACAAGATTTGTGGGTTTTATTATGTAGCACATAATATATATTATATGTAATGATACAAAGTTCACAGTTGTGTTTTTTTCTTTGGAAATACCATACTAAAAGCAGTATAAAGGAATATTATGGGAGTCCAGTTTCTCAGTGTTAATGTTCTTATCTAATTCCAGTATTTTTCATGTTTTGCACTTTCTAGAAGACCATATCAACAGGAATAGAGAACACAATGAAAATCTAAATGCTGAGATGCAAAACTTAAAACAGAAGCTTATTCTTGAACAACAGGAATGTGAAAAGCTTCAACAAAAACAACTGCAAGTTGATTCACTTCTGCAGCAAGAGAAAGTAATTTACTACCATATTTTTTTAAACCGTTTATTTTGTGTCATACATTTCCCTATGTCTCTGAACGCCTTTACACTGTGTATATTCTTTGATCTAATAGTTCTGTATCTTTAGAGTCTTATCCTGAGAACATAATCATGGATTTGCTGAGGATTTAGCTACATATTTTCACTACATGTTCACCACAGGGTTATGAATAATGTGGGAAAATGGCAACAGATACAGCAAAACAGGGAAATAATTTTTTAAAAAATTTTCTGGTTCATGCTTATGTGATTTAGGCTATGTAAACATTTACACTTACTTTGTAAAAGTGTGTCTAATTACAGAAGAAACAAAGCAATTTTTAAAATCCAGATTATTTATAGAACATTTTACATATCAGTGAGAAGAAAGTAAGTCCACTAAAACATTATGGGCATAGGATAGAAAAAGAGAAGGCGAAGTTCTGATGGCCTGTAAATGTAGAAAGATGCTCCACCTTAGTAGTAACCAAGGAAGTAGAAATAATTTTTTTTCACTTAAAAAATTGGCACAAATTAAAACATTTGATAATATAAAATACTGGTGAGAGTTAAGCCAACAGGTTCTTACATGTACTGATGTGAAATATTATAGTGTTAGACAACCTACAACAGCTAAAGGAATTGAGGAATATATACTGACCTGGAAAGATATCAACAACAGAGTATATATCATTTATATCCCTCCCCAAATGTGTATGTATATATAAGTGTATAGAAAAATACCAGAAGGCATATATATTCCAAACTCGTAGCTATCTCTGCAATGGGAAAACTAAAATTAGGGGAGGAAGTCATCAAAGATAATATTAACATCATTTGTAATATTAGAATTATTTCACAATGATGATTTATTTGTTTATTGTATAGCTTAAAAAATAATTTTATATAATATGGAAATCACCACATACTTTTTATATAATATGTGAAACATTATATTAATATCAAAGCCAGTTGGAAAGCAGATATATATATATATATAAAATATAATTTTAGTTTAAGAAGTTTCTGCATGTGCGTTGCATAGAAAAAAGCCTAAGATGATATTTGCTGCAATGTTAACAAGGTATAGGAAATAATCTATGAAAACAAATACGCTATTTCTATATTGTTTTAAGTTTCCTTGAATCTCTTGCATTTAGGTTTCATCCTTCTTTATCTGTACTTTTTTTTTGTCTTCTAGTACAACCTCACAATGGCATTCCAATTTATTTTGGTGATTTTCTGTTTGGATATAGGAATTATCTGCTAGTCTTCATCAGAAGCTCTGTTCTTTTCAAGAGGAAGTGGTTAAAGAGAAGAATCTCTTTGAGGAAGAATTAAAGCAAGCACTGGATGAGCTTGACAAATTACAGCAAAAGGAGGAACAAGCTGAAAGGCTGGTCAAGCAATTGGAAGAGGAAGCAAAATCTAGAGCTGAAGAATTAAAACTCCTAGAAGGAAAGCTGAAAGGGTTTGTATTAATAGGATCTCATGTTTATGTATGACTACAGATGCCACAAATTATTTTGAGTACATTTTTTTTAGTATTCTCATATCAATCATGTGAGCGTGTGAGGTTGGAATTGTTTTACAATTAAGTAGTAATTATTATTTTACAATTAAGTAGTAGACACAGAATGTGTACACCAAATGTACATGCAAACAAGTAAGACAGCCCCCTTTTTTAAGTTAAACGTATTGCCCCCTTTTTTTTTTTTTAGTCCAAAGAGAGTTTTAATAAACAAATGACAAAAGTTTTGCACTTCTTTACTACTCTGATAATTTCTGAAATTTATTGGACATCAGCATTAGAACAATAATGGACTCGGGGCTGCAATTCCTGTACTTTGGGATGCCAAGGTGGGAGGATTGCTTGAGCTCAGGAGTTTGAGACCAGCCTGTGCAATACAGTGAGACTTCATCTCTACTAAAAATTAAAAAAAAAAAACTAGCTGGGCACATTGGCATGTGCCTGTAGTCCCAGCTACTTAGAAAGTTGTGGGAGGAGAGTCACTTGAGCCCAGGAGATCAAGGCTGCAGTGAGCCGTGATCATGTCACTGCACTCCAGCCTGAGCAACAGAGCGAGACTCTGTCTCAAAAACAAAAAACAATAATGAACTTGGGGGAAAAATATAAAGAATCCCTCCCGTTAATAAATAGCATTCCCGGCCGGGCGCGGTGGCTCAAGCCTGTAATCCCAGCACTTTGGGAGGCCGAGACGGGCGGATCACGAGGTCGGGAGATCGAGACCATCCTGGCTAACACAATGAAACCCCGTCTCCACTAAAAATACAAAAAAATTAGCCGGGCGTGGTGGCGGCGCCTGTAGTCCCAGCTACTCGGGAGGCTGAGGCAGGAGAATGGCCTGAACCCGGGAGGCGGAGCTTGCAGTGAGCCGAGATCGTGCCACTGTACTCCAGCCTGGGCGACAGAGCTAGACTCCGCCTCAAAAAAAATAAATAAATAAATAAATAAAATAGCATTCCCATTTTTTGTCTATGCATTTACATAGTATAAGTTACACTTTTAATTGTATTTTTCAGGGAGCACAAACACTTCAGAAATGCAAAGCAGGCTGACACAATGGCACATGCCTAAAGTCCCAGCTATTCAGGAGGCTGAGATGGGAGGATCTTTAGATCAGGAGTTTGAGGCTGTAGTGCTCAATGATTGTGCCTGTTAATAGCCATGGCACTCTTGCCTGGGCAACATAGCAAGATGCCCTCTGAATCAGTAACTGATAAAAAGCAAATGAGAAAAAATAATTAGAACTAGGAAACATTCAAAAATAAGAAATATATTATTTAAAGTAGAAAGGCTTTGAAATCTCAGCCAGACACGGTGGCTCACACCTGTAATCCTACCACTTTGGAAGGCTGAGGCAGGCAGATCAGAAGGTCAGGAGTTTGAGGCCAGCCTGGCCAATACGGTGAAACCCTGTCTCTACTAAAAATACAAAATAAATTAGCCCTGTGTGATGGCGCATGCCTGTAATCCCAGCTACTCAGGAGGCTGAGGCAGGAGAATTGCTTGAATCCAGGAGGCAAAGGTTGTGGTGAGCTGACGTTGCACCACTGCACTCCAGCCTAGGTGACAGAGGGAGACTGTCTCAAAAAAAAAATAGACTGAAATCTCACTTTTTTCCCTAATTCTAGTTCCTTATAATTTCTGCCACATTATGTTTCCTTCTCCCGCGCACTTATTTATTTCATTTTGTTTTGTCCATAGTATTTGCTAATTTTTTATTTATTAAGAGAAACTATTCCTTAGCCTACATATTCCTATTTCATAGTTCAGGAACACAGGTCAGTGACAAACTACTACATTTAAGTTACAAAGTCTGGTTTGATTCTTGAGTTCAAATTTCAAATATTATTTAAATCCTTGGGATCTCATCATTAAAACACTTTTTGGCAAAGGACTATGGGCTAGATAGGAGTTTGTGTTATTGTAATATATCTCACACCTGTGTATCTGTCTCAGTAGAAACTTTTGTTATTAATCTTTTCTGTTTTCTTGTGATTAGTAATGAGAATGAACAGCAAGGTTTTTCATATCCCTGCTTTTGGGGAAACAATACAAATTGTTATTAGGGGTGTTCTATATTACAGCCAATCTCAGGGAACAGGAATCTTGGGAAAATAAGATTATGTCATTTTCAGAGAGGAAAGTTGAGATAATCATTTATTCTAACCCAAAAAACTGTGGTCCAATGGTCAAGAGATAATGATTTTTATTACTAATTTTGTTAGCTAGCTAGTTGATTCTGAGCAAGACAATCTTAGTTTCTTTCATTTTCTACTTCATTTTCTACTTATAAAAGAGTTTTATGAGATGATCTCTAAGATCCCTTCTAGCCTGGAAATTTCAAGCTTAAGAGAAAAACCAACTAAGAATTAATTCTTCTAGGGGACAGGGAAGAAAATAATTTTATTATACACTCTTTAGTAATATTCGATTGCTGTTGCTGTGGTGTGTATATTTTTGAAATCCCACACTTGTTACAGAATGAATTTGATCAGCTGTTTTTTTTATCTCACTGTCCAACTTAGTCTATAAGTACACAATGCTTATTTACAATTTTTAGTTCTATATGTTTTTTAAAAGATGTTTCATAAGCTCATATGCATATCTAAAAATTTTATCACCACTTTGGAAATATGTTATTTCCAAAATATCTCTGAGATTTAATAGCATGTGTTTATAAAGATGACTTAAAACCCATTCTGTCTATGCAAAATAATCCATTAAAGAAGTTATTGAATCTTTCAGTAATAGTGTGTTATGTGGGTTATTCATATAATCAGAATAAATCTACAGAGTCTTATAACTGTTTCTGTAATTTAAAATGAAGTGTCTTTAATTGTTCATAGTCTTTCTCAAGTATCTAAATGGAGAGAATGGAACTTCATTCAATCCAGATGTTTTTTAACTGATAATCTTTTGCAGTCTTTAGTCCTGGCTAATATCTTAAGATTTTGTTTTATAGTCTTTTATATTCTACTACCTTCTTCCCCCAAATTTTTAAAGTAAAAAAGCAGGAAAGATAAGTTGAAGCTAGTAGAAAAATACATTAAAAACATGTCTTTCGAGGTAAGTCATAAATTAGGATCTGAGCTATTTAGCAGGTAATGCAATGGTGAAGATATGAGCTGTATGATTCACAGTTTCAAAGGTAAATACCATTTTCTTTCTTAGGGTAATAATTGTAGGTGGCATTTTATCTTTTAATTATTTCTTTTTCTTAGGAAGGAGGCTGAACTGGAGAAAAGTAGTGCTGCTCATAACCAGGCCACCCTGCTTTTGCAGGAAAAGTATAACAGTACAGTGCAAAGCCTTGAAGATGTTACTGCTCAATTTGAAAGGTATTTTTCTTTTGAGCCTGCACTCTTAAATGTAACATAAGCAGAAAGGGACGTTTACCCAGGGAAATCTGTGAACTGTGAACAAAGCAATCACACAAAGGATGATTCGTATTAGTTTAAATTCCATAATCACCAACCATAAGTGGGCATTTAGCATTATCTGGTAATCTTATTATATTTATATAATTCCCCTTTATAATTTATAGAAATTCCCCTTTCTCACTATCCACTTCAACTTTTATGCACTGAGCCAGGTGCGGTGGCACATGCCTGTAGTCCTAGCCACTCCATACGCTGAGGTGGGAGGATCAAGTCATGCACTTAGAAGCATTTGGTGCTTCTGCCTTACTCTCTTGATGTTATCATTTTCATAAAGAAATCAGAAATTTTTATCTCCTCATTAGACCTATAAAGAGACCCACATTTGTACTCATCCTATCTTCCCACTTATTACAGATGAAATGTCCTAGTCTTTTCATCTTCAGTGACCTCATTCTATCATTTTTTTCTCTCATAATTTGAAACCTTTTTACTGGATTTTTTCCAATCAATATTAAAACATGATAATATACATCAATCTTTAAAATATATTAATTAGCTGGGTGCTGTGGCTCATACCAGTAATCCCCGTGCTTTGGGAAGCCAAGGCAGGAAGATTGCTTGAGGCCAGGAGTTTGAGACCAGCCTGGGCAATAGAGTAAGACCTTGTTTCTACAAAAAAATATTAAGAATTAGCCAGGCATTGTGGCACATGCTACTTGGGAGACTGAGGGGGGGAGGATCACCTGAGCCCAGGAGTTCCAGGCTACACTGAGCTAAGATCACACCAGCCTGGGTGACAGAGCAAGACTGTCTCAAAACAAACAAAAAATAAATAAAATACACAAATTGTTTTAAAAACTCCTCTGACTTTAACTTCCTTTTGCAGCTGTCTAACACCACCAGTCATTCCCTTCTTAACCCAAAATTCTACTCCTTTTCAATCCTTGTCCTTCTCCTTTTCCTTCTCTTGACAGAGAAGATTGTCTCTATATCCACTTCCTCACCTCTCGTGCCTTCTACTTATTTTCTCCTTAAATAAAAAGTTTATTTTGGGTGGAACTACAAATTACAAAGGCCAATATAATGAATACTTATATATTAATGTTAACATTTTTATTTATCACTTTTACTTTAGCTCATTTTGGCAGAGAGGTTCCTTTCTTTTATTTAGTAAATGCAAAAGAATGCATAACATGTACATAAACTATAGAGCTTGAAGATAAAGCTGACATGCATGAACCTATAAAAGACAACCAGTAAGCCAAAAGATTTTCAACAACTTAGTATCCATGTATAAGTTCCTCTACCATCCCATTTTCATGCCTTCCCTGAACAGATAACACTGTCCCAAAGTCTACATTATTTCCTTGTTTTTTCTCCCCTGTGTATTATAATTTTATGACACATATATCCATACAAATAATGCATTATGTAATTTTCCTTCTCTCTGAACTTTACCAAAAAATGTCATCATAGTATATACTGTTTCCTGGGACTTATTTTTCCATTCTGCATTATGTGTGTTTTCAGGATTGAATCATGTTGTCTGAGGCTATGGTTTGTTGATAGTCACTGCTATGAGTATTTTACTGTATGAATATACCACAACTTATTTATTCATTCTTTGGACTTTGGGTTGTTTCCCATTTGTTTAGTTATTATTAGTTATTTAGTGACTATAAGTATGCATGTCGGTAAGAATTTCTCTAAAGCCAAAGGTATATGAATGTTCAACTCTAAAACTTAATACCAAATCATTTTCCAATGTGGGAGTAAGAATCTACACTCCCACTAGTGTTATATAAGTTTCCATTTATCTTCTTTGCCAAAGCTTATTAGACTTCTTAAATTTTGCCAGTGTACTTAGTGTAAAATGGCTTCTTATTGTGGATAATTCATCTTTCCTTTTCCATAAAAGGCTTGTTTATGACTTTTGTTTATTTGTCTATAGGGTTATCATCTTTTCCTCACTGATTTGTAGAGATTTTCTTTATCAGCCATATGGGTTACAGGTATCTTCGGCCAGTTTAGCTTATTTTTATTTTCTTTTCGGTTTCTTCTGGTGAGCGGAAATTCTCGATTTCAATATGGTTAAAATATTTATCTGTGTGTGGGCACTTTGGCTTCTCATTTAAGACCTTCTTTCTATCCCAAGGTGTAAAGGTATTCAACTAGTTTTCTTCTAAAAGTTTTAAAATTTCATTTTCCATTTTTCCACCTAGAACTGATTTCTATCTGTGTAGCAATATAGAGATCAAATTCATTTTTTTGTTTTCCCTGTGGACAACCAATTGCCTAGTTTAATTGTACCTTAAATTCATTAAACTGTACCTTGTTTCCCCAGTGATCTGTTCCCACATGTGATACCTTATGACAGATAGATAAATAATTTATATGTGTATATGTTTTATTTATAATTTTTATTGTATCAGAACATATAAATTGTATAAATATATATATAAATTATACATATATATTTATTGCTAATATAAATCCTGTAAAGGAATTTCCCTTCTCGTTAGTTTGAAGAATAGTGCTTCAGGAGGTTTTTATCTATTCTGTTATTTCACTCACCATCCATATACTCATAGTATTAAAATTTATTTCATCAAACCAGACCTTTCTTTACGGCTCCATATTCACATATCCAGTTACCCACTTGACATCAAGCAGACATCATACTGTCTTTTTATATTATCCAAATTTAATAACCTATCCAAACCAACTCTTGATCTTTCCATTGCTTTCTATCCCTAGCCTCTCATTGTTTTTTATTATAATCAGTGACATCATCTTCCCAGCTTTTCATTCTATAAATCTGAGAGTCATCCTTCATTCTCTCTTCCTTACCCCCAATATTCAATCTATCTCTTGAATTTTTCTACTCTGCTTCCAAAAGAGATCTTGTGTCTTTCCATTGCCAGCTCCTTAGTCTGAGCCTCCTTTATCACTCACCTGAGCTGATAAATAATTGTTTTATTTATAGAAGGATCAAATAATTGATCCTTCAGTTTTCCATTCTTTCCCCTGCCCTAATCCATCCTCCTCATAGCTCTAGAGTGAGCTACACATTTAATTAAACACCTTTTTATTTTATTTATTTATTTGTTTGTTTGTTTATTTATTTATTTATTTTGAGACGGAGTTTCGCTCTTGTTGCCCAGGCTGGAGTGCAATGGCACTATCTCAGCTCACTGCAGCCTCCACCTCACGGGTTCAGGTGATTCTCCTGCCTCAGCCTCCCGAGTAGCTGAGATTACAGGTGTCCGCCACCACGCTCGGCTAATTTTTTGTGTTTTTAGTAGTGAGGAGGTTTCACCATGTTGGTCATGCTGGTCTCGAACTCCTGACCTCAGGTGATCTACCCATCTCAGCCTCCCAGAGTGCTGGGATTACAGGCATGAGCCACCATGCCTGGCCTACTTGGACACCTTTAATGGTTCCTGTCTATCCCCCAGGTAAGCCCACTGTGCCCTGCTCTGATGACCCTCATGCCACCAGCTTCTGCTCCAGCCTTTCTTACTCATTAGGCTCTAGTCTCACTTCTTATTTTTTGATTGTGAGTAATTTTCATGTTTGGTAGTTGATTTCTTTTCCACCTCTTGTATGCATACTTCCTGCACCTAGTAGGCACTTGATTTTTTTTCCTTTGAATACACAGCAGATGCCATGTAAACTCATTAGTACTTAGCTCAGAACACTGAATTCTTACCTGTGTTAAATGCATGAATACATTAAAAACGTTTTAGTTTTACCTAAAAGTATATAAAATGTAAACTGATCAGTTATGATTGTCATATGTAATAGTTAGAAAACTACTTTGACTTTTTTTTTCTTTTTAATAAGCTATAAAGCATTAACAGCCAGTGAGATAGAAGATCTTAAGCTGGAGAACTCATCATTACAGGAAACAGTGGCCAAGGCTGGAAAAAGTGCAGAGGATGTTCAGCATCAGATACTGGCAACTGAGAGCTCAAATCAAGAATATGCACGGTATATACAGCTAATAATGGCCTTAGAACCATTAAGACAATTTAATGTTGAAAGCCAGCTGGTAACTGTCCCTTGGCTTGCTTTTGGCCATCTTACATTGCAAATTAAGAATTTACTCAGTTAAAAAATGACGCTTCTTGAAGAGTTCCTTGGGTTTTTTTTTTTTTTTTAAAGGGAAAAATTAATGAAAATGGCTATAAAATGTTTAGTGAACTCTTCTCTCTCAAACCAAAGGATGCTTCTAGATCTGCAGACCAAGTCAGCATTAAAAGAAACAGAAATTAAAGAAATCACAGTTTCTTTTCTTCAAAAAATAACTGATTTGCAGAACCAACTCAAGCAACAAGAGGAAGACTTTAGAAAACAGCTAGAAGATGAAGAAGGAAGGTATTCTGTGATTAGAGCCTGAGTGCCTTATAACTCAGTTATGATGTTATTTTTTAGATAACTATGTTTTTCTTAATTTAATTTTTCCATGCAGAAAAGCTGGAAAAGAAAATACAACAGCAGAATTAACTGAAGAAATTAACAAGTGGCGTCTCCTCTATGAAGAACTATATAATAAAACAAAACCTTTTCAGGTTTGTCAGATAGGAGTAAACTTGTGTTTATTGTAGGAATTCACTTTGTTCCCTGTTATATAGTGAGGACAGTGACTTGGGTTTTCTGCAAGATCATTTTGCTGTGCACTTACAGTGCCAATTTAGCTCACTATTAAAGGTTTATTGTTAAATTACTCTGCATAACTTTTCCCCACATTTTTGAAGTATAATTAACAAATTTAATTGACATAATTTTTTCAATGGACCCTTTGTGGTTTTAAAAAAAACTGTAATGAGGAACTTAAAAGTTTGGCTCAGAGGGCTTGCCTGGTATGAGCTTTTGATAATTAACCAATTTTAATTTGTGATATGACTTACCTTATTGCAAATATTCATTGTTTCTCAATACACTGATCTTTTAAAAGAAAAAAGAATAAATGCTGATTTTGGAACTTAGATAGAAGTACAGTATTGGTTATAATGTGGTGATCTAACTGATACAGATAAAACTGGCCAGCTGGCTTTTTTACCTTGTTTGTTTTCCTCTGTTTTAATGATCTTTAAAATGAAAAATACAAAGTTTAAAAGAGTTTTGTAGAGAATCTATGGAGAGCCCTGAGAATATGTAAACATACCCTGTTTTTATTTGTGTTTTTAATTTTCTTTAGTGTTTATGGTTTACATGAAACTGGTATGATCAAACTGTTTTAAGTCTTTATTTTAAAAATCTTTTTCAGCTACAACTAGATGCTTTTGAGGCAGAAAAACAGGCATTGTTGAATGAACATGGTGCAGCTCAGGAACAGCTAAATAAAATAAGAGATTCATATGCTAAATTACTGGGTCATCAGAATTTGAAACAAAAAATCAAGCATGTTGTGAAGTTGAAAGATGAAAATAGCCAACTCAAATCGGTTTGTAAAGTGACATTTCATTTTATTAAAGATATTGGAGGGAGTGGGGGTTATTCTAATTATAATACTTAAATAAAATGAAAATCTTTGGTATCAGGAAAAAAAAAAAGTTTATAGAGGAAAATTGGGCTGCAATTTAGTGGATTTATTTTAGAGTGTTGACCAGATGGGCCTTCAATGTTCTAAAGTTTTCTAGCTACCTTCTTAATATATTGAAAATTACTAGAGTAATTGGATGACTGCATTAAGCTTTACATATCTATTTCCATTTGCAAAATTGCAAACTCCTTGATGTAAAACTGTAAAGAGAAGCAGTGTTCAAAAATAGTTGGGCACTTAAATTTTTTAACATATGTATCGAGATATAATTGACATCCCATACAATCTACCCATTGAAAGTGGACAATTCAGTGGTTTTTAGTATACATATACAGATATGTGCAACCGTCACCATAGTCAATTTTAGGACATTTTCCTCACCTCAAAACAAAACCCTGTTATCCTTTTCCCAACACTCTCCTATCTCCTCACCCCACCCTTCAGCCCTAAGCAACCACTAATCTACTTTCTGTCTCTGTTGATTTCCCTATTACAGACCTGACATATTCATGGATTCAGATAATATGTGGCCTTTTGTTACTGGCTTCTTTCAGTCAATTAGCATAGTATTTTCAAGATTCATTTGTGTTGTAGCATGGAGAGTACTTTTTTTTTTTTATAGCCTAATAATTCATTATGTGGTTAAACCACATTTTATTTATTCATTTGTAAGTTGATAAACAATTGTTTGCACATTTTGGCTATTACAAATAATAGCCATAAACATTCATATACAAGTTTTTATATGGACATTTGTTTTTATTTCCCTGGGAAATAATGGGAGGGAAGTTGCCAGATCATTTGATAACTCTACGTTTAATCATTTCAGGAAGTATCAGACTAGATTCTGATGAGATCGGGTACGTTCAGGGTGGTATGGCCATAGAAAGGTCAGACTGTACTCAAAAATGGCTCATACCAGTCTATATTCTACAGGCAGTATATGAGGGTCCCAATTTCTCCACATAGTTACCAACATTTGTTATTATCTGACTTCTTTATCTTAGCCATTGTATTTGGTATAAAGTGGTATCCCATTGTGGCTTAACTTGCACTTTCTTAATTGGTAGTAATGTTGGTCATCTTTTCATGTGCTTACTGGCCATTTGTATATCTTCGTAAAAGAAATGTCTGTTCAGACTCTGCTCATTATTAAATTGGATTATTTGTCTTTTTATTATTGTGAGAATTCTTCATCTATTCTGGACACAAGTCTCTTATGTATTATTTGCAAATTTATTCTCCCATTCTGTGCATTGTCTTTTCACTTTCTTGATGTTGTCCTTTGACCCAAAAAACTTTTATGAAGTCCAGTGTGTCTATTTTTTTGTTTGTTTGTTCCTTGGTATCTATCTCCTCTGCCAAATTCAAGGTCAGGAAGATTTACCCCTGTGTTTTCTTCTAACAGATCTATGGTTTTAGCTCTTACATTTAGATTATTGATTGATTTTGAGTTAATTTTTGTATGTGGTGTGAGGTAAGGGTCCAGCTTCATTCTTTAGCATGTGGACATGCAATAGTCCCCACACTATTTTTTAAAGAGAATATTCTTGCCTCCAGTTAATGGAGTTAACATCCAATTAAAAAATCATTTAGACTGTACATGTATGGGTTTATTTCTAGACTCTCACCTGTCTTCCATTGATCTATACATCTATGTGCCACCACACTGTCTTGATTACCGTTGTTTTGTAGTAAGTTTTGAAATCAGGAAGCGTGAGTCCTCTTTGTAGTTTTCAATATGGTTTTGTCTATTCTGGACCTCTTGCAATTCTATAGTGATTTTGGAATCAGTTTTTTTTTTTTTTTTTTTTGAGACGGCATTTCACTCTGTCACTCAGGCTGGAGTACAGTGGCGCGATCTCAGCTCACCGCCAGCTCTGCCTCCCAAGTTCATGCCATTCTCCTGCCTCAGCCTCCCGAGTAGCTGGGGCTAGAGGTGCCCACCACCACGCCCAGCTAATTTTTTGTGGTTTTAGTAGAGACAGGGTTTCACTGTGTTAGCCAGGATGGTGTCAATCTCCTGACCTCGTGATCCGCCCACCTCGGCCTCCCAAAGTGCTGGGATTACAGGCGTGAGCCACTGTGCCCAGCCTGGAATCAGTTTTTCTACAAAGAAACCAGCTGGGATTCTGATGGGAACTGCATGGAATCTATAGATCAGTTTGGGACATATTATTATCTTTACTAGGTTAAGTCTTCTAATATATGAATATGGGATATTTTTCCAAGTATTTAGATATCATTTAATTTCTTTCAACAATGTTTTGTAGTTTTCAGAGTATAAGTTTTCCACTTCTTTTGTTAAATCTATTACTATTTTATTCTTTTTGATGCTATTGTAAAAGAAATTGTTAATTTCATTTTTGGATTGTTCATTGCAAGTGTATAGAAATATAATTGATTGGCCGGGTGCAGTGGCTCAAGCCTGTAATCCCAGCACTTTGGGAGGCCGAGATGGGCGGATCACGAGGTCAGGAGATCAAGACCATCCTGGCTAACACGGTGAAACCCCGTCTCTACTAAAAAATACAAAAAAGTAGCTGGGCAAGGTGGCGGGTGCCTGTAGTCCCAGCTACTCAGGACGCTGAGGCAGGAGAATGGCCTACACCCAGGAGGCGAAGCTTGCAGTGAGCTGAGATCCGGCCACTGCACTCCAGCCTGGGCGACAGAGCGAGACTCCATCTCAAAAAAAAAAGAAATACAATTGATTTTAATATATTTATCTTGTATCCTGCACACTTGCTAAACTCATTTTAGTTCTAATAGTTTTTTAGTGGATTCCTTAGGATATTCTTATGGAAGATCATGTCTTTTGCAAATAGAGATGGTTTTACTTATTTTCCAATCTGGATGCCTTTTATTTCTTTTTTTTTTTTTTTTTTTTTTTTTTGAGACGGAGTCTCACGCTGTGTCTCCCAGGCTGGAGTGCAGTGGAGCGATCTCGGCTCACTGCAAGCTCCGCCTCCCGGGTTCCCGCCATTCTCCTGCCTCAGCCTCCTGAGTAGCTGGGACTACAGGCGCCCGCCACCGCGCCCGGCTAATTTTTTGTATTTTTAGTAGAGACGGGGTTTCACTGTGGTCTCGATCTCCTGACCTTGTGATCCGCCCGCCTCGGCCTCCCAAAGTGCTGGGATTACAGGCTTGAGCCACCGCGCCCGGCCGCCTTTTATTTCTTTTTCTTGTTTAACATCTCTGGCTAAAACCTGTAGTATAATACAATGTTGAATTTAGAAATAATGAAAATGGATGGACAGACTTTCTTTGTTCCTGATCTAGGGGGAAAGCATTCAGTCTTTCTCCATGATATATGATGTTAGCTATACGATGTATGTAGAGTGACATTATTAGATGTTGATTTGTCAGCCAGGCGCAGTGGCTTACGCCTGTAATCCCAGCACTCTGGGAGGCCAAAGCAGGTGGATCACCTGAGGTCAGGAGTTTGAGACAAGCCTGGCCAATATGGTGAAACCTCATCTCTACTAAAAATACAAAAATTAGCTAGGTGTGGTGGCGGGCACCTGTAATCCCAGCTACTTGGGTAGGAGAATCTCTTGAACTCAGAAGACAGAGGTTGCTGTGAACTGAGATGGAGTCATTGAGCCTGGGAGACAACAGCGAAACTCCGTCTCAAAAAAACAAAGACGTTGATTTGTCACAGATGCTCTTTATCAAGTTGAGGAAGTTCCCTTCTGTTTCCTACTTTGTTGAGCATTTTTATATGAAAGGGTGATAAATTCTATCAAGTGCTTCTTCTATTTCTATTGAGATTATCACGTAATTTGTTTTTTATTCTGTTGATATATTTTATTGATTTTTAGATGTTAATCTAACCTTCTGAGATAAATCCCACTTGGTTATGGCATATAATTATTTTTATATGTTGCTGAGGGGTTTTTTTGTCCATATTCCTAGGAGATACTGGTCTATGGGTTTTCTTTGTTTTGTTTTTGTTTTTTTAATGTCTGTCTCATTTTGGTATCAGGGTAACGGTGACATCATAAAATGAATTGAGAAATGTTCCTTCTTTTCTATGTGGAATGGTTTTTGAATAATTGGTGTTAATTCTTCATTGAATATGTGGTAGAATTTATTGGTGAAGCCATCTGGACCTGGGCTTTTCTTGTGAATATTTTTTGATTACTAATTCAATATCGTTACTTGATACAGGCTTATTCAGATTATCTCTTTCTTCTTGAGTCGGTTTTCTTCTTGAGTAGTTTATGTCTTTCTATAAATGTGTCTAATTTGTTGGTATATAATTGTTCATAGTATTCCTTTATAATATCTTTTATTTCGGTAAAGTCAGTAGTAATGGCTCCTCTTTATTTCTGATTCTAGTAATTTGAGTCTTTTTTTATTTAAGTTTCTTTTTTTTTAAAAATTTTTAGTAGAGAAAGAACTTTATTTTTGTTTGGTTGGTTTTTGGGGTTTTTTTTGAGACAGGATCTCACTCTGTCACCAGGCTGGAGTGCAGTGATGCAATCACAGATCACTGCAGCCTCGACCTCCCTGGACTCAGGTGATCCTCCCACCTCAGCCTCCCAAGTAGCTGGGACTACAGGTGTGCACCACCACACCTGGCTAATTTTTCTACTTTTTGTAGAGACAGAGTTTTGCCATGTGGCCCAGGCTGGTCTGGAAATCCTGGGCTCAAGCAATCTACCTGCTTTGGCCTCTCAGAGTGCTGGGATTATAGGCTTGAGCCACTGCACCTGGCCAAGAACTTTTCTTTTTTATGATTTCATCTTTTGTTTTAGATGTGAGGGTACATATGCAGATTTGTTACATAGGTGCATTGCATGATACTGAGGTTTAGGGTATGACTGGTCCCATCACCCAGGTAGTAAGGATGGTGCTCAGTAGGCGGTTTTTCAGCCCTTGTTTAATGGCTGAAAAATCCAACATCCAGTTACTCTCAAAGACATTTTTTCTCCTTTTGTCCAAATGTTTAGGTTATACTTTTCTGTTTACTGGCATGCCTTGTAATTTTTCATTGGAGAGTAAATTTTTAGATCATATGTTGTAGCATTTCTGGGTACAGCTCCCCCTCCTTTTGGGGCTTTTTATTTGCTTATTTGCTTAATGAGCGGCTCAATGATTTTAGTGAAGCCTATCCTACTATTTCCCCAGACCCCAACAGTGTTGTGCCTCTGATGTTGCTGTGCAGGGAGGTACAGTTTTAGGTATATCCACAATTACCCTGGGATGACACTTGCTTTGGTAGGGTTGCCTTCCTCTCTTTCTGTGAACATAGTAGGCTATAAACTCCAGTAGATGCTGGCTCCTTGCTTTATTATTTTCAACAGTACCCTAGGGCATAAATTGCTGTATCAACTAATCCAATCAAATTCTGGCCCCTCTGTAGGGATTGCATCTGAGAGCAGTGCTGGATATTTATTGACTACAGAAGGGCTTGTCCCAGCTGTCTTATTCCCTAGTTTTCTCCTGCAAACTAACTAGTCTGCTGTTGAGCCTATATCTTAAATCTCCTCCCAATTCTCTATCACTATAACCACCACTGTTCTTTCATGGTCCCCAACCTTTTTGGCACCAGGGACCATTTTTGTGGAAGGCAATTTTTACACAGACCGGATCACCCAGCTCGTGATTGGTTGGTGTGGATGGTTTTGCGATTAAACTGTTCCACCTCAGATCATCAGGCATTAGATTCTCATAAGGAGCATGCAACCTAGATCCCTCACACGTGCAGTTCACACTAGGGTTCACACTCTTATGAGAATCTAATGCTGAAGCTGATCTGACAGGAGGAGGAGCTCGGGGGTAATGCTTATGCTTCCTGGCTCACCATTCACCTCCTGCTCTGCAGCCCGATTCCTAACAGGTCATGGACAGGTATCGATCTGTAGCCCAGAGGTTGGGGACCCCTGCTTTAGAGCACCATTAGGCTTCAGCTTCTCCAAGCTCTGTTGCAGGTGAAGTCAGTTCCTTTGAAAAGAAATGAGGAGCTACCTGTTTTATGGCCTACTTGCCTTTTCCGCCCTCCTTTCCCCCTCCCCTGACAATATCTCTGAGCCAGAACTAGAACTGAAATTGGGGACAATGGCAGTTTTCTGTCTGAGAGACATCTCTGCCCTAGGAGCTGAGTTTTCAGTGGACTTGTGGGGAAGAGATGAGGAATCGCCCCAGGCCCTCTTGACTCACCTCTCCTGGTGTAGAACCATCCCCCTCATGAGCCAGAGAAAGGGTGATCAGGGGCCCAGCATTTTCAACACGCTGTGCCCAAGGTGAGCCCCTGTTCCATGAATGGGGCTGAGTGGAGGAAGGGATCCCCCACCTCACAACTGCATTTGTCCAAGATATAACCACAGCCACAGGGAGCTGGGGACAAGATGAGAAACTCTGATGTCCTGGTCCTCCTGGGAGGGAAGCTTCTGACTCAGAGGTGGGGGGAAAGAGGGCCCTGTGCTTTTGATTGTAGCCATCTGGCATGGACTTTGCCTTGCTAAGCTGGGAGTGGGAAGAGGGGAAGGAGTTTTGGCTTCAATACTGCAGACTTTCATCTTTCTCACCAAATTTTTGCAGATTTTCTTCAATAGACATTTCTTCATTTGCTGTTTTTCCCTTAGGTCAATTTTCAGAGGCTTTAACTGGTTAACATCTTATGACTTTTAGTTTCACTAGGGAGTAGGTCAGCAGAACTTTCATGCTGTCATGCCAGAAGTCCATCTCAGCAGTTACTTTTGAGTTGAACTTTTATCAGAAAAATAGCTTTGTAGCTGTAGAAGGGCAAGGAGATTTAAGACTGTATCTCCTTTGTCACAGCTGTTTCAAATCATTTTGTAATTCAGTCTTAAAGCCTCTGTCTAGCAGTGATTGTTGCCATTGGGTGTGATAGTACATAAACAACTCTGGAATTTGCCCACAACATTGGTAACACATTTCACTGACATAATCTTTAATAATTGTTTATTACCTTTTTTTTTTTTTTTTTTTTTTTTTTACCTAGGAAGTATCAAAACTCCGCTGTCAGCTTGCTAAAAAAAAACAAAGTGAGACAAAACTTCAAGAGGAATTGAATAAAGTCCTAGGTATCAAACACTTTGATCCTTCAAAGGCTTTTCATCATGAAAGTAAAGAAAATTTTGCCCTGAAAACCCCATTAAAAGAAGGTAAGACATGAATAAATATATAAAAGTGTCCTCTTCCTTTGGATTTGCTTTCACAGCATTTAGCAAGTCATCCATCTTATGAACTGTGAAAATTTGTTGACACCTTCTGATAAAAGCAATTCTTACTGAGATTGTTGTATACAAATGACTGTTTTTTCCCTCCTTCTACACTTTCTTTTCTGTATACCTGGATTCTGCCTGTTCTTCAAGGCTGGGTCAAATTATATCTTCCTTGAAGCTTTGCCTGACTATTTTGCCCCTGTCCACACTCCCCAATTTTACTCCCTCTATAATACCCTTAGCATTTTAACCTAAATGTCTCTTAGGTCCTTAATCATTTTCTAATTTCTAGTTTTGGAGAAGTAATTTCTTATTTCTTGACTGGGAATGTTTGTCTTTCACAATAAATTAAAATTGGTTGAAATGATAAAGACTTGTAAATAAAATTATCTTGCAGAATATATTGCTTCATCTGCCTAGAGAAGATACAAGGCCTGTTTTTAGTTTATAACGATGGATAAATTCGTTTTAATCTAGATTACTAATACTTCTTTTCAATAATTCTTCTAGGCAGTACAAACTGTTACTGAGCTCCTATGGAGTGACAAGAATCATGGAAGTAAACATCTGAAAAACGTGTTGAAGATTATTTCATTCGTATTGTTGTTATTGATGTTGTTATTATGTTTGACATGGTATTTTATAATGTTGTATTTAATTTTAACTGCCAATCCTTAAATATGTGAAAGGAACATTTTTTACCAAAGTGTCTTTTGAGATTTTATTTTTTCTTGTAAATGCCTCCTGCCTAATGCTCACCTTTATCACCTCATTCTGAACCCTCTCACTGGCTTTCCAGCTTACAATGCATCTCATCAACTTAATATTCCTTTAAAAGTCAGTATCAGATTATTATTCTGTTCTGAAACCTTACTTTCAAGAGTCTAATCCCCAGATTTTTTAGCTTGATCCTGGAGGTCTTTTCTAGTCTGAGCTTCTTTAGCTAGGCTAAAACACCTTGGTTTATTCTTGCCTCTACTTCAATTCTGATAATGCTCACCTATTATCCTTCCACTTGTCCAGTTGAAATAAGAAATTTAAGAACGAGCCTAACTTCATAGGAACCTCTCCATTTTTAATCAGTTGTTTAATAATTTACAGGTTCTTAGGCTCCATCCTATTTGTATGAAATTATAATCTGTGATTTGGCCTTAAGCCTGCATTTTTTTTTTTTTTTTTTTTTTTTTTTTTTTTTTTTTGAGGCGGAGTCTCGCTCTGTCGCCCAGGCTGGAGTGCAGTGGCGCGATCTCGGCTCACTGCAAGCTCCGCCTCCCGGGTTCCCGCCATTCTCCTGCCTCAGCCTCCCGAGTAGCTGGGACTACAGGCGCCGCCACCACGCCCGGCTAATTTTTTTGTATTTTTAGTGGAGACGGGGTTTCATTGTGTTAGCCAGGATGGTCTCGATCTCCTGACCTCGTGATCCGCCCGTCTCGGCCTCCCAAAGTGCTGGGATTACAGGCTTGAGCCACCGCGCCCGGCCTAAGCCTGCATTTTTAACAAACTCTTCAGTTAATTCTTAAATACACTGAAAATCTGAGAAACTCTGCATGTAACTATTTCTTTAGAGTTTGTCATATACTGCTTGTCATCTACATGTCTACTGAGCATTTGATTAATATTTGTGTAATATGAAATAAAATTACACAGTGAGTCATTTAACCAATTAATTTTTCAACTTTATTTTATGAAGTTACATTAATGCTTCTATATAAGATGTATTTATTATCTCTTCCCTACCCACACCACCTTGTCCCCAGAATCACAAAAGATACTGTTTAGAAAGTGGTAAATCTCTCTCTAAAATGTCTGTTTTGCACATTGGTATAATATTGATAAGCTACCTTTTTTATAATATGTCCTCATTGATCGACCAACAGGGACTATCAGTCAGAATTGCTTTTCATAATTATTTTATTAGATCTTAATACATGGTTGAATTTTAAAATGCAATTTTTTAAATTAAATTCAGAAGAAATGTAGGAATTGAAAAATTGTCCAATAAAATGGTTTAATGGGCTGCGCACAATGGCTCACGCCTGTAATCCCAACACTTTGGGAGGCTAAGGCGGCAGGAATTCAAGATCAGCCTGGGCAACATAGTGATCCCTCATCTCTAAAAAATATATAAATAAATAATAAAATGCTTCAGGACTCCTACTTTTAGCCAAGATGGGGTAATAAGATGAACAACCAGGTGTACTGCCCAAAGTTCTGCCCACTGGGAGGATTTCTCTTCACCACTGTCCTTCAGGGATGTCCCAGAGAAGGGCTGGCATACTGTAGCTATCCAATTTCAGGTGATGCCTACATATCACACAGAAACATCTATAAACTAGGCCCATGTCATTTATTCCTGTCAATTCATCATAGGGAACTCCCCATGAGCTTGGGAGAAAAAAGGCAAGGTAGCAGGAACAGGGACCATGGGCATTTGGGTCACTTCTTCATGTAACTTACTTTTGCCTTCAGGTCCTGCCTGGGCCCAGTCACATACATAACACGTTCTTTGATGATGTACTCCTGCTGTGCACACCCAGCATTATGGCTTATGGGTCAGATAACACCCAACTCATCATGGGCAGCTCAGGTCACATGGTAACTTAATTGACCATGGTAAGCATTCAGTCCCTACTGAAGCCCAGCAGTAGGCCAAGAGATGTTTCTCAAAAGAGTAGTTATCTGCATAGGATAGCAGGTCTTTCTTCAAAATACTAAGGGTCTGCACTGAGATTCATCTATACGGGCCTGCCAAAGGTTCCAACAGCATCTCTATCTGCCACTGACACTTCAAATACCATTGGATCTGCACGTTCATATGTCCCAAGCAACAAAGCAGCTTACACAATAGCCTGGACCTATTGCAGAACCTTTTCCTATTCTGAGTCCTACTCCAAACTAGCAGCTTTTCAAGACACTCAGTAAATGGGCCAGAGTAACAAACCCAAATCCAAAGAGGGCTGCCACATGTCATGCCTCTTCTGGTTGTAGGAGGGGGCAGATGCAAAAACTTACCTTAGGAGGGGTATCTCAATATGCCTTATACCACTGGACCCCTAGAAATTTTACTGAGACATGAAAAAGCCTTTGAATTTTTGTTGGATTTACTTCCCACTTCTGATATGCACATGTTTTACCAATAGTTCTGGAGTAGTTGCTACGTCTCACTCATTAAGTCCAGTGAGCATAATGTCATCAGTGTAATGGGTCAATGTGATGTGGAAAGAAAAAGCAATAAAGATTCCTGTGAACAAAATTAGGACAGAGCTGGTGAGTTGATATACCCTGAAGTAGGACATAAAGGTGCATTTCTAGCCTTGCCAGCTAAAAGCAAACTGCTTCTGGTTGGCCTTCTAGACAGGGATGGAGAAAAAGGCATTTGCCAGATCAGTAGATGCATACGAGGAACCAGGGTTTATGTTAATTTGCTCAAGCAATACATCTGGTACAGCAGCTGCAATTGGAGTCACTACCTAGTTAAGTCTGTGATAACCCACTGTTTTTCTCCAAGATCCATCTGTCCTCTGCTCAGGCTAAATAGGTGAGTTGAATGGAGATATGGTAGGAATCACCACCCAGCCTTCCTTCAAGTACTTACGGTGGCACTAATCTCTTCACTCCCTATAGGAATTGAACATTGCTTTTGGTTTACTATTTTCCTAAGTACAGATAGTTCTAGTGGCTTCTACTTGGCCTTTTCTACCATAATAGCCCTCACTCCATAGGTCAGGAAACCAATGCGTGGATTCTGTCAGCTGCTGACTATATTCTAATTATACATTCTAGAACTGGGGGATAACCACAGAATAGGTTCAGGAATTCACTGGGCCCATTGTGAGATGGAACTAAGCTAAAACTCTGTTCATCACCTGACCTCCATAAGCTGCTACCCTGACAGTAGCACTTTGGATCTCCTGAAATTAGTGTCACTTCAGAGCCAGTGTCCACTAGTTCACAAAAGATCTGATTATTCCCTTTTTCTAATGCACAGTTACGTTGGTAAAAGGCTGTACGTCCCTTTGGGGAGGACTAGGAGAAAGACTAACAGTATAAACGTTTGGTTATGGACCAGGGTCCCCTTGAGGTCCTCCCCTTCAATCGAAGGGTTTTGGCTCTATAAAATGGCTCAAGTCTGGGAATTAAGGGACCACAATTCTCTGTTTTTATGATTCAAGTTCAACTTTTGTCACTTGACTTAGAAGTTTTCTGCTCATACAGATCAAGTAAGACTTTAGTAGGCTTCCTATCTATTTCACTTCTAGGAAAACCATGATCAACCAGCCAAAGCACAGGTCTACACAAGTCAGATTATTCTGATTGTTCCTTTGGTTCTGTCATTATGATAACCACATCACCTTGCCTTTGGTGGTTGAGTCCCATTACTTGACCCATGCCACCCTGGGATATGTTACTTCCATTATATTTAGGTTTTCCAGTTCATTGACTGCAGTGAGCTCTGGCCTACAGAGAAGAGCCATCACAGAGTTCTGAAAAAGGTGCTGGAACGCTCCTCGTAAATTTATTTCTCATAGTATTGGTGAAAGGTATACTTTCTTGACATTCCCAGTGTGGATGAGTAGTTCTTAAATGAAAAATCTACTCCAATTTCCCAATATTCCTAAACCTTTTAATCCCATCCTCTAGATTAAACCAAGGCATGTCCAGCCCTTCCAATTCATCTTTTCCATGTTTCAGTAAGCCTATTAACCCGTAAGCACCCTTTCTAATTCCCCAAGCTGCAGTGTTAAATGCAGACTCTTTGCTTAGTGAGCCCATGTCAAGAAATTTGACCTGATCCAACTTTTTGTTCCTTCCATCATTTTCCGACACCTTTATTATCCATTCTCGCATATGTTCCCAGATTTTTGTCTGTAAAAATTAGAGACTTTGAGTAACTCTTTAGAGTATAGCACATCTCTTCATGGGTAACACTTTGTTCCTGTCTAGTTTCAGGTCTAGAAGCAAAGAAGGGTGGTGGAGATGGGTCTGGAGGAGAACGGGCATTGTCTTGTATATCAACTGCCTCAAAGGAGACCATTACAATTTCCTCAGGCAATGCAGTGTTAATCATCTCAGACAGGTTGGAGGGTGCTATCACTGGAAATGGAGAAGCTGCTTCCACTGGGGTTGAGAAGTCTCTCCACCAGCAAAGAAGACTCATCAGAATTTATGGGCTTAATGTCCCCAGCTTCATCAAGGTCTTCCTACATGTCCAAATTCTAATTTATAGAATCTCATTTTTTTCAGTAAGTGCCCTCTTTTTAACAATAGTCACTCTGCAAGGCTGGAATTCTAATTTGTGTTGTAATTCAGCCAGTCACAGGATGAGATGCTGTGTTTGATTTTCAACAGTCTCGGCTCTGGGAATACAGGAGATAGGGTTTTCTTCAGAGTGTACATAGAAGTTTTCTGATTATTTATGGAGTACTTGAGCTGGGAATAAAAATCCCTACACTCACCTTTTTTAGCACCACTTTATCCAGTGACATTAGAAACAACCAACTGTCCTCATTATACTGATTAAGAGGCAGAATAGGTAGTCAAGGAAGTAAACATGGCTGTGGTATGCAGCAACTGTGGCTTACTGCACCACACACTTCAACAAAATAAGCCCCAGCATTCACATTGTAGTCAAGCTAACTCAAGCAAAGCTATCTTCAGTAAGACATTTCCCTGTAGACAGCATGCACATTTTGATTTTACATATCC